TTCAACCCTGTTGCTCCCAGGGAATGCAAACCGTTAGAAAAATGAATTAAGCCTCGCCAATATCTTTGCTTTAAAAATCAAAACAACAATAACAAAAAGACCAGTCAGGTTAATTATACTAGAGCAGGGAGGAATCTGTGAGATGTAAATACATTTCCATGAACATTAAAAGCAAACCCCTCTCTAAAGTGTTTTTCTTTCACAAGCAAGCAAGAAAACGCATTGGATAAAACAAACTTTGCTTATTTTAGTTTCGACTCAATTACCTGTTAATGGAAAAAATCTGGCACCACCAATAATAAGGCAGGAATGAGATCACTGTTCTGGAGGCCTGGCTTGTCAGGGAAGCTTGCAACAAGAAGTGCATTTATCTGCCTTTCTATAACCCTTTTCAAGCACTCTGTCAGGGAGCCCAAACTGAACAGCCAGTTTAGGAGGAACTTGGAACCCACTCCAGGCCCCCTTGGCCCTCTGGGAAAAGGAAAATTATTGTTGGCAAGTCTGCCTGGCTCCAGAAGTTGATCCAGTGCCCCCCACTTGCCCATGCAGCAGCAGACAGAGCTAAGAATTTTGTTATAATTAAATAACACTGTGCTGATTGGTTGCTGGAGGTGGTCTTGAAACTGGTGTTTAAGGCAGTAGAGAACAACGGTTACTATTCATAGAAAAAGCAGAGTCTTAAAATCCATCTGTTTCGTTCCAAATTTAGGCCAAAAAAATGCTCACTCACTGTCTTTAAAAATACCACCTGCTTAGCTATTTTGTATAATGTGCCATTATATAAGTTTGAAGAAGGAGCAGGCAGGGAATCAGCGGGGGCTGAGGAGGGGTGGGTGGAACAGATTAAAAAGATATAGTTAGATCCAAAAATACTCCAGCAGCATATTTAAAAGGGAACACAAAATAAGGGAGCAAAGGAGACAATTTCTGATGGAGATTAAAACCAGGGTGCTTGCTAATGCCTGGGAACCAGCTACTACAAATGGGCTTGTTTGCAAAAACCATAATAATCCTTTTTCTCTCTTTCTTGGAAAAAACCCCACCCTCCTTGCTTTGCACACTCAGCTTCAGTCATCCCCATGCTACAGAGCTGTGGAAACACCTTGAGACTTTCCCACCCTGTAACTGTTCTGGTGGTGTCCAGGCCAGAGCATCACAAGCCCCTGCCAGCAGGCACCTCCTAAATGGGGCTGTGCTTTCCATCGGTGAGCTGGTGCCAGCTGCTAACTCAAAGGAACGAGACAAGGATCTGGTAACCCCTCAGCAGTGACTTTTCCAGAGCAGCTCTGCTCTGTGAGCAGGAGCATTAGCAGGGCCTGGTGTCCTGCAGATGTGTCTCCCATCTCTCCATTGTCCTTTCCCTCCCCTTGCTTCCCCACTGCAATCTTACATAATATTGCAGCTGCAGCTGCAGTATTTCCACTTTTCCCTATACCCTTAACTCGTTCCCTTGTTCCCTCCAACATCCCAATGCTGTCCATGTCTCCTACCTAATCTTCTCAGCCTGCCAGCTGGGCAGGGGAGAGCAGATGCTGGTCCAGAAGGAGACGTGTGATAATTGGCCATCTGGATGCTGCCAGAGAGAATGGATAACAGCTGAGCTCTCCCTGCCTTTTCTTCAGCAGTGGATCTGGAAAGCCTCTCTTCTCAGTACCGGCAGAGATTTCCCTGGAACTCAGAGGGACTTTATCATCTCTGAGAGTTTGACTGCCGCTGTCAAATCTGGTTCAAAATGCCAGAGTATTCAAGAATTATCAGGAGAGGGTCAAACAGATGGACAGAGAGCATGACTTCATGTTCTCCACTGCCTTAGAGGTCAAGATTAATATCCCCCCCACCCCAAATTTAAAAGCATTTCCTCAGAAATGCTCAGAAAAAAACCTCAGAAAAAGAGCAGCTCCTAGTACATGGATGAAAGTCATGAGTTAATATTTTTGATTGATCCCAGAAGAAAATCAGTCCAGGGATCAGAAGACTACAGTTGTCAAAGGGTCCTTAAACAGGTTGGTGACATTATTGACAATGATGGGTGCTTGGAATAAAATCACTTGTAGCTGATCTGTCTCAAAAATCTCAAGATGTTTTCCAGGGACATCTTAAGATGAATGACAAAGTAACTGTCTACCTTTTTTTTTTTTTTTTTAATAACATAGCAATTGCTACAATTTCTGAACAAATTCAAATATTCAGAGTTTTAAGGCTTCAAAAGCTTTAGACGTCTTGTCCAAGAAAGATCACTTGAGATCAATCTCAATCCTGTACTGAACTTAGTTTTCACCTGGAGTACCTCTCTCAGAACACCATCAAAAACCTCCATCCAGCCTTTGGTGGTGCTCCTATGCTTATTCCAGACATATCTGGGCAGCAGTGTCACACACATTGTTGTTGATTGTTATTATTATTGGAATAATAATAATAATGCCAACAATAACATTAATATTAATAATATTAACTTTCATTATTATTGCAAAGACCTATGCAACCATTTTACTGTACATTCTCTTCGCATCTTTTTTATAGTCTAATTAAATGAACAGGACTCTAAAGATTACTCTTTTTTTCCTGCCTCTCCATTTTTTATTTTAAGCAAAGCATAAAACCATGTGGCACTGCTTTGAGTCAGCAATTGCTTAAACTTTTTAAAATTCCATACACTAAGTGAAAAATGAGATTTACAAAACTAATGGAAAATAAATGTCTCCCGAACATGCAATACATTGACTTGCTTCCTTGCCTTAGTCCATAAAAACAGATGGAAGCAATAGCTACAGTGAATTACCTACTGCATGCAGGGCCCTGTGCTGTCTCTAGGCAGCCCTGGATGAGAACAGACCATGCCACTTTGTCACCACCCCACTCCAGTGGTTGTCCTCCCTGGTGTGGATCTGGGGATGATCAGCCTGTTTCACACACTATTTTACACCTCCAATGCATAGACAGGGCTGTCTTTCCACCACGCTTCCACTGTACCTGGGCACAAAGGGAATACATATAAATAATGGCAATTTTCTCCCAGGAGCCTTGACCCAGCTCAATTCCTCTAAACAAGGGAAATTTGGAGGCAAATCTGAAGGCATAATCCCTCAAAGGGATGCAGCCAAGGCACACCCTGGAGGAAACACAAGCAGTTGCTTTCCCAGGGATATACAATTGTTTTCCACAGCAAAAAGTTCCCAGCATGATTATCCACCACTCACAAGCCCTGTTCAATGTATCCTTGGAACACATGCCTCTCACCACACACACAGAAGGAAAACTAATTTGCACGGGAACGGTGTTTTAGGACTCTGCTTTCGAAGTATGCCTAGTAAAGCAGAGAGCAAAGAACACATTTTCCTGAATATATGAATCATACCTTGATGGTGTCTACCCCGAATCATGACATTCAGAGATCTCCCTGGAGCACTATTCCTTACTTTAGAAGAGAGCAGCTATCCCCAGCAGAGATGCAGCACATGTGTCGGGCTGATGGATGGCCATGCTCTAGCAAGAGTCAAAACACTTAGGAAAAAGAAGTAAAAAATTCCCTAGAAACCTTAACTAGCTGGAGAGTAATTTGAGGATTGCATTCAATTTACTGGCTACCAACAACAGCAAAATTTGGCATCTTCCACAAGGGCTTTGAAGCAATGTCCTTTTCCCCACTGCAGAGCCCTCTCCCACCCATGCTGCCCACGTGCCTGTTGTGGCTGATGAGGGAACATGTTCCACCGAGGTCAAGGGCAGCATCATGTCAGACCACAACGAAAACACCATCAGGCCTTGGATCAAGAGAGATAAATGGAGCTTGGTAAAAAATTCACCATGACTTAATCCTTTTAATAGGACATAAGAAACAATACTCACGTATATTGCCCTTTACTAACATGTTTGGAAAAAAAAAAACCAGAAGGCTTGTCTTGTAATTAATAATTAAATATTAGCAATTTAAAGTACTGTATATTGCTTACACATTATTTAGTACTTTACTCAGCACCTACCATGCCCTCACAAACAAAAATTCCTTCTGCAGCCAATGAACACTTCTGCAGGTTTTATTGGACCCCACAGGAAGGGAGAGCATCATCCCAGAACAGAACAGCCTGTTCCCAGGTCTCTGCAGAACACACCCTTCCTATAGAGCCTGCCAAGACCAACCAAAGAGAAGTGCAGTACCTGAGCAAAGCACCTGCACAACAGCAGGGAACAAAGCTGCTTCAACACCTTTACACACCATTCTCCTCAAGTGCCACTGTAGGAATTACCATGGCTGGCATTTTCAAAGATGACTGGACCAATGGTGACATCCACTTGAGATAGAATTCTGGAAATAAGGAAGTTAAAATCTCCACTTATTAAAAAAAAAAAAAAAAAAAAAAAAAAACACCAAACAAATCAACAACATAAAAGATTCTTTGCATATCAATTCCCTTCCATCCTGCAGCATTTGCAGGCATTGCTGTCAGATGGATGCTGGACTCTCGGAACCAAGAGCTGTGCTGCAAGGGCTCACTGTATTAAAAAAACCCTCAAATATATGCAAAACTGGACTCAAATGTGTCCAGGAGATAAAGCCTAAGGCCAGAAGGAGGACTTTACTAATTAGGGCTATCTGGGCTCTCCTGTGACCTTTATAGTGCATCAGTTCTATGTTGTGAGATCACCAGGTTAAACAGAAATACATTAAAATTAAAGGTATCACCAGCCCTGGTCTCTCATCCACCAGTCAGCTCATTTCACATGGAAGGACATTCCCTTAGCTCACATGCTGTCTTCTGCCAAATCATGAGCCATTTGCTTTAAATGAAAAGGATCTTTAACCACTGCTACTCATGTGAAAGTGCACAGAGCAGGGAGAGGGCCAGTGCAAATGCAAATTGGGATTTCTCAAAACTAGAGCTGGCTGCAGTTTGCCACAATTTTCACACTTTTTTTCCTGAGGAATTTTTCCAGTGGGCCTGCAAATCTTTCCAGCCGGATAAAATGCAGTCAACGCATAAATGAGTTGACAAGTCATTCTCTGCACATACTAAGTTGCTTTTATTAATCCAGAACTGCATGCTACAGATACTGTACAGCATGAACATTTATTCATTACAAAAAATGGCTTCCAAACCATTAAAAATGAAAATTGGAATAAGAGCATAAAACGGAACAGTAACATCACAACTGTTAGGAAACATTCAAAGTATTCACAAAAAATGTTATAGTTAGCATCTTAATAAACCAGAGAAAAATCTGAGACAGTTTTACAATCGCTTCATGTCAACTACAATGGCACTGAATGAACAGATGAACAATTTTTCAGCTTTATACAGCGTTTTTTGCAACATCAACATGCCTAGGTTTTTTTTTTTTTGTTTTAAGTTTGCTACCTACCTGTATGTAGTAAGTGTACATAAAAGTGGCAGTCTGATTTTCCTTTTATGAATAATCTAATATACAGAATTTGGCCCTTAAGGGTTTATACCTCTTCATTTTAAATGCTTTCCGGACAATCTGCTACCAAACACGTCTGTTATAGGTGACATTAAAACTACATACATATCTACCTATGTAACATCACAGCAAAACATGATGAACAAAAAAATTACAGCATTAAAAAAAATAATAAAGTTGTCGGGAGAAAGTTAAAAGTCACTGAGAATTTTGGCACATAAAAATTTTGCACACAGCCTACAGTCCTAATGTCGCAGGGGATTCAGCTGCAGTTCTGAACAGGAGACACTTGGACCTTGCTATTTTTCAAACAGCATTGCTAAAAATTCCCTTGCTAAATTTTCAAGTCTTTTCGAGTGTAATGGCTTTTAAAGCAATTTTATTCTTTACACTATTGATCCTTGAAAAAATGCATCTGCGAATGTCCATTTGGTGGCAACCGTATTTTATATAGCAAAAAAAAAAAAAAAAAAAAAAAAAAAAAAAATCACAAAAACAAATCAAAAACAAAATCCCGGAAAAAATATATATATACACATTTATATATAAACTTAAAAACCTTGTACAAATGAGTTGTTATATATAAGATGCTTACACTAAAGGAAAAAAAAAACCCTTTATACAATGTTTCAAGGAAAAATAAAAGAAGAAAAAAAACATTTAAAAAGGGACAACATACAGATACAACAAGCAATTTCTAAAGCAATAAATACTACTGGTCCAATAGCGTTGTGATACTTTTAATTGTTGAGTAGCGTCCCCTCCCCCAAAAAGAACAACACCATGGAACAAGGTATATTAACACATTTTTTTAACCCTTTGTTTCTGTACATTTAAACAATAACAAGTAACATCACAATAAAGGTTGTTTCACACAAGGAAGGAAAAAAAAAAAAGAAGTAGTAGCGGCACCGCATTCGTTGTGCCCTTAAAGGTTTAAAAACCAGATGTAAAATGATTGGTTCGCAAGCTCGTATTTAATACAAATAATAAAGAACCAATGCCTCTGGCAAGGGCTGCTTCAAAATTGCTTCTTTTTTTTTTAATTTTTAAAATCAGTCTTTAAAACTAAGCTATTGGAACTACATAACAATTATGTATATATATATATTTTTTAAACGCTACAAAGACTTTAAACAGCTGTTGATAAAAATTTTGGCAGAATCATGAGGCTTTTCTCATCTACATATTTAAAAAGGAGAAATTGAAATAAGAATGGGTCAAATATTGACCAATGAACTCGATAAAACATCAACTAATGTAGCCACATGGCACAAATTAAAAATGAAACCGAGAAACGACGACAAACAGCGGACGACAACAAGGAGAAGGAAACAAAAAATAAAGAAAAGGAAAAAAAGAAAAAAAAAAACAACCCAAATACCAACAGAATTCAATCCCCCCGAAAGGAAACCGAAAGGGCTAACAAGGCTAAAGCTATTCTAAGGACTTCGTTACAAGGGAGAGCGGCTGGGGCTGTGTCCCCGGCAGCGAGCTGTGGGAATGCAAGGAGGACGTCGAGGGCTGTGCGAGGGATGCGGCGGCGGCCGGCGGGAGGGCGGCCGGCGGGTGGTCCAGGGCCCCGTTGGGGCAGCTGGCGGCGGGCAGGGCGCCGGGCTTGCTCGCGGCGCTCTCAGCGAGCACGAGCGAGGATGGCGGCGGCATCATCACCAGGTGCGCCAGCGGGTCGGGCTTCAATGAGAGAGAGAGGGGTTGCGTTTGTTCAGTCTGTGGTTTCGAGTCTCTGGAGGGGGAGGCGAGCATGGCGGGGGAGGACGGAGGAGAGTCTAGTAAGCTTCCATCTGAAGAGGGTGGGCTGACGCAGCTGCCTTCACCTTGTATGTAGCGAACGCACTTTTTTTTTCTCCTAGAAACAGGGAGAGAGTTATCCATGAATAAAGGGCAGAGACGCTGATGGAGACAGTCATCTACGGCAAAGAGCCATCAGTCAGCTACTCTGGGCTCTGCATGGGTGGCATCCTGGCCCCACGTGCCATCCTGGGGGTCTGGCAGGGTGTCCTCGGCACCAAACCCGCTCGGGAACCGCCCCTCAGCTAACAGATTTGGAAAGGTTTCACCAACGAATTGTCTCTTCATCCCCTTCCTCTTCAGGCTGCCTCCTTTCCTTATTTTCATAATCAGAGAACCAGATAAATGGGTTTTGGAGCACACTGTTCTAATCTACAAACTTTCCTCCATGGAAAAAAATATTAAGAAGTAATTTAATCCTCCTAAAATAAAAACCCTGGATAGCTGATGGTATCTCAAGATGTCCCATAACACTGTCCATCTCAATGGGGCTATAGCTACACCTGTGTCACCTGTGGTCTCATACGATGACCCTGATCTTGGGAGGCAAGAACGGCTGCAAACTACTGCTCATTGCTTTCTCCTCTGTTAAGAACCACACCAAATCCAGAAATGTCAGTCAGACAGAAAGGATATATAACAGAGAGAACAAGAGAGAGGGGAAATAAAACCAAAACGAACAAACAAAGCAAACAGAAGAAAAAACAGGAAAAGAACAGGAAAAACAGAGTATGATCCAAAATAACAAGAATAACTGGTTGTATGGCCTGCAGGTTGTGGCTTTAAATCGACTCAGTTTTATTTTTTGTTTTAGGGGAGAGTGGTAGATTTGGGAAGCAGCTTGTCTGCGTTTTGGGGATTTTCCTCTGAGAGGCCATCCATGTAATTCCAGAGTGGGATCCAATTTCAGTAGGTGAAGAGCACGACGACAGGTACAAAGGTGAGGAGCAACATGGATCTTAATTTCACACCAGGGCATATGAGAGTCTCGCAAGAGCTGCTCATCTTCAAATAAATAAGTGACCCAACAGAGGTCTTTTCTCCTCCCTCTGTCCACTGGAAATGTAAAGGAGCAATGAACAGATGACAGTTTCACACCATCTCTCTTGCCAAGTATGTGCAAGACAATACTAGCAGTAGGACAGAAATAATGAGGCAAACAACCACAGCATCTGGCAGAATGATGTCCAGTGGCCACCTTGACGCTAAGCATGCTGGCTCTTCAGCCCTCAGATCCACAGTCACACTTCCATGGGAAGTGCTGAAGCGCCGTCACACAGCCCAAGGCATAGAACAAAGCCTAGGAGCTTTGAGAGCCCAGAGCAGCTCTGCCACAAGAACTTTGGATGCTCAGCTAAGCTGCACAAAGCCACCAACGTGAACGAGGAGTTTGCTCTCCCTCTCCAGTGGATACATCACCCCAGCTCTGCAACTCCATCAGAGGGAGCGCCTGAGCATGGCACAGCAGCTGAGTGTCACCAGGAGACATTCCCCACTCCAGGAGGTGCCCCAGCTCCCCTGCTGGTCACCAGTGCTCTCCCCTAGGCATGGTGTTTGACTAGGTTAAACCAAGCTCCACCCTCGAGGCAATGAGGACAGATGCTTCTCATTGGCAAAGGAGACCCCACTACCTTGATCCTGGAGTTAAAACTATCATCTCCCATAGCCAGGAAGGGAACAACAAACCCAGTACCCCATATTTCACCAGCTTCAGTGAGGGACCAGTGCTGTGACATCCCTTTCTCCAGAGACTCAGGTCTGCTCTCAGATTCTGCTCCATGTGCCACATGGCAAGGTAAGGGGTTAGGGCTATTAGAGTTTTAACCACGTTAGCCTGCAGATCAATATGTGCTAAAAACTAAAGACAACCATGCAACTTAAATGTTAAAAAGAAAGAAAGAAAGATAGAAGACAGCAAATGAAGGCTGTAAACCATGCTTTATTAGAGCAATGTTAAAAGACAGAAGAAAAATTAATTTGGTGGGCTCAAAACAGACCTTGTTAATTCTTCTACAATCAACAAACAATGCTGGAAATCTCTGGCTCTTGGCTAAGGACTGTTCTGCTGTTGACTCTCCCCTCTCCTCTCTCACTACTGCCTACTTCAGCTGTGCAGCACTACCAGGGCCACAGCTCCTGTTTGGACCTTCTGTACAGCTCCAGCAGCAAAGCAGGACAGTTAAGCTACACAAAGCTCACCAATATTACTTCTGTGGAAAGATGGGTTCTTACACTCTGCAGACTGCAGGACTCCCTCTCCACCCCCAAATTAAAATTACTTGCAAGCAGAGACCGAAGCTCTGCCTGCCTCATTGATGGGGGTCCAAAACTCCTTTAACTGGACTGCTCTGAACCTACAGGGCAGTGAATTATTTAACTGGAGGCAGTTTGAATCTAGTATGCCAGAATTTCAAATTTATTTTTAAATATTATTTAAGTTCTGTGGCCAAAAAGAAAGAGCTTTCATGGCAAAGCAGCTTTAAACCAGGTTTACCTGGCTTTCTGATACTGCAGAGTTAACAACCTTTAAAAAAGCAAACCCACTGCTCTGCTACCTGAAATAATTTTCCTTTGACTAGGATTAAGGGAGCATATTGCTTCTTTTGCTGAACTCTTTAATAGCGTGGCCACTTGTAGTCTGAAAAAAATATTTACTTAAGTCATGATGGCTCAAGATGGGAGGTATTTCTGCAATCTGTACCAATCACACCACGGTTACCTGTGGTCATGAACTTGTCAGGATTAACTTGTCTGGGACAAAAGGCCCAGAGGGCAAACCCCCAAAGCATGCAAGTCTAATTTTAGCAGACTTGAAGACCACCAGGCAGCTCTGGTGAGGGGGAATAAGTAAAAATCTAAGGAACTTCTTGTGCCTCAGTTTTGCTCTGCTAAAGGCTGAAACAAAAATACAAAATATTCCCCCCTCAGAAGTACTGGTGAGGATTATTCACTTGTGCATTGCTCTGAAAGTGTTAACTCGGTGCATCAGTAGAGCAAACACCAACAGACCTGAGCCCACTTTTGTTGCTCTTGAAACTAGCCCTGGAACAGCACCAGTAAACCTGTTATGCTGCAATTGCCATGAGTGAAAGCCACAGAAGATCGCAAGGGTTTATTCAGTTGCTGTGGGCAAAGATGTCTCAGTTTTGCCCACAGTAGCAAACTGCACATCTTTAGCACCTACCTAAGGTGTGCTACAAAATGCTACCATGCTAGCAAATGCAATGTTATAATGGTTAGGACCAGAACTAGGAGAGAAATGCTCTAATACTTAGTGGTAAAATGCCTCCATGCATTAAAAAACATAACAAAACATGAACCCAAACCAAAACAAAAAGAAAAGCAGCTGATTCTGAATCAGTAAGTCCAGAACTATCAGCTATACAACTAAACTTGTCCCTGATGTGCTGAAAAGACTTCTGACCAAAACCTGGTATAAGTTAAGAGAGCGTTTATGCTTCACATGTAACCTAAGCACTGTACAGACCAAATAAAAACTTTCCTTGCTGATAAAATGTAGTTTTAAAAGTATGTTGCTTACTTAAGCAGCCAGGAAAAGACAAAGCAACACAAACATGATGTGCCCCCAGTTCTGGTACTTGGCATGCGGAGCCTGACATGCTTCACGTACTGTATCTCTAGACTACACAAATATCTGCTGATAGTGTGCAGCAAAGTAACCACAGAATAGAGCCTAACTAAACACAGCACTGCAGTCCTTGGCTAGCATGAGACTCGAGCCTCCTGACACAGTGAAGTAGCTACTCAGCTCTTCTGGACTGAACCCTTCTCCCTCCTGGCACTACGAAACTGCGGCTTTCCCAGATTGTGTAACACATGTCCTGGTACTGACACCTAAACCCCAACACCCCATACTACCATGCCTCAAATGGGACAAGACACAACCTGCAGAAGGCATTTCTGGTGCCTCTGGTACACTGACACACACCACCACCCCCAGTCCGAGGTTCCTGGACACTAAGCACAGACAAGACTGCGTGCATACACAAAATACGATGGACGTCTGAGCTACATTCTAAATGAGATGGAGCACATGGGACTGGCATGGGTAAGAGGGGAAAATGTGGGAGAGGAATCACTACACACAGAGTGTGGTTTGGGTTGAAATACCTACCATCATAATATTCCAAATTCAAAGACTGCTTGTATCAGAATAAAGAAACAACAAATTTAACCAAATGCGATCATATAAGGAAAAAGGAATGAGAAAAGAACTACTCGGTATCCCTCCACCAAGAAAGAAGTACGTACTGAGTTACACATGGAATTAAACTCCAGTAGAACATGGGCTGCCAGAATTTGGGCTCTCTGATGTCTTTCATCTCCTTTTAATGCTGGAAACCGTGCTACTAAAGTTGTAATTAGTTTTGTCTAGAGCTCAGACGTTTACAGCTCACTTGTTGGGATAAGATTTAAGAAAAAATATATTTTTGGGATTAGGAAAAAAGATTTCAGATAATTAAAAAAAATTGTATCTGCATAAACCTTACAGAGGCATAGTAGCCAACAGGTAGCTGTTTTAATTTTTCAGATAATACCAAAAGAATGAATACAATATAAGCTGTAAACACTGGCTTTTACATCTCTAATAACGAGAAAAACACTAGTACTGCAGATCCCAGAGCCTTTTTAAAAAGCCTTTGCAGGCAGGGGACATAGACCCAAATGAAAGACAAAATGTAAATGTCCAGATAAACATTAAATTTGCTGACAATCTGGAAAAAAATAACAAAACAAAAAAAAAAAAAAAAGGCCAAAAAACTGCCAGCTTTAAGGACTTTGAGTTTTCTTGTTCCCAGTTCTACCACCAGGGAGAGGTTATTGGTAAAGAAAGAGAGAAAATGGCATTAAATTAGCAGGAAATTCCAAAGATCAAAGATTATTAGCAATTGATGCTGTGGGAGAGAGAAAGGTGGGGAGTGGGGAAAAAAAGATTAAAAAAATAAAATCACACAAATGCACTAAGAGGACAGATTGCTTTTATTTCCCCAAAGGCCTAATGGGTAGTTTTATACCTGCATGGTTTGCACCATAAACTCTGTCGGTCAAGCCCGAACAATGCCCGACACTTCTTTGGAGTATTTGCATCTGTTAGCATAAGGTAAACACAAAAAATACAACACAATGGTGGATAGAGCTCATTTGGTCTGCGTCATCTCAGCTACAGCTACGTTCAGCTTTTAGTCACCTCCGTTTTATTTGGTAATCTCCCCTCATACCAAGGGCAGGAAGGAAAACAGGACTTTCACAATGAGCCAAAGGAAAAACTAAAAACAAAAATCTCCGACACGGCCAGGAGCCTGTGTGGTGTCGGTACCGCACTCAGTGCCGCGTTATCAAGGGCTTTGGGAGCGACTGTCCTTGGGTGGAGGCTGGGAAGGCAGGAGCATGGTTGAGCCACGGATCAGATGGGCTTAAGGTTGATGCTGTTTTACAGTGGGTTTTTGGCTAGCAGCAGCAAAAAGGAAGGCAAAAAAAAAAAACCAACCAACCAACAAAATAAAAAAAAAAAAAAAAGCAAAACCCTTTCGGAGAGATGATTACTGATGGCAGTGTCCCACTCCCTTGTGTCTTCTAGATCACAACACAGAGCTACAAAGCAACAAGGCAGGAAAAAAAAGGGGAAAGTACCAAATAAACCAGCTGCAAATCAGCCATAGCGAGTCTGGGAAAACTATACACACCTGCAGGGGCCGCACCAGTTATTCTGTTGATCAAGGCCAAAGCGCGCTCGGCATTTCTTAGGAGCGCTCAGGTCTGAATGAGTTCAAGAAAAGCGAGCAGAAAAGGGAGAGAGGAAAAAAAGAAAAGGGGAGAGGGGGGGAGTGAGAGAGAGAAAGAGAAAGAGGAAGAGAGAAAAGGGGAGAAAAAAGAGAAAGGTAAAAATAAGGAAAAAGTAAAAATAAAAAAGGGAATAAAAATCAATGTCCTCGTTATTAATTGCAAATATTGACTTTTGATTTAAAAGTTAAAAGTGATAATTACATTTTTATTCAACTCTTGAGATTAGCTGTTGCAATTAAAGCTGCAGTATCCCTTTATAAAGGACTGTTTCTTTCCCTTTTAAGAGAGCAGGTAGAGGAAAGTCTTTGTGGTTGGTCTAGCAGGATGTTTCAGGCAAGATTGATTTGGGCTGGGGTTTCTTTTTTTATTTTTTTAAGAGGGGGGGGAAAAAAGGAAGAAAAGAAGCTGAGTATGGAAGTTAGATCCTGAACATGCTTTTTTCTTCAACTCATACGAAATAAGAGAAAAAAAAATAAAAGAAAGGAAAAAAAAAAAGAAATTATATCTCCTGGGATAATGCAGCTTTTGGAATAACATTCAATTTACTTGTTTTCATTAATTTGTATTTAAAAGAATGGATAAGAATAAGCAGATTGCGGAATGAGTATGTTAGTATCAGCCAGAAAATAAAACGTAAAGCATGGCAAGGTGCTGAGTTAGTACAGCTAGTGAATTGCAATGAATAGGCTTGAGAAGAAAGGAAAAAAAAAAGATCCAAAACTAAAATAATAATAAAAAATGCGTATGCATGCTAATGCGAGAAGACTTAGTGGGAGCCATGAAAAATGCCATTAGATTAAGGAGGTTCATTACTGACTTGCTTCCATTCTTTATCAGTCTCTTTAAAGAAATACTGCATATTCAATTTGCACAGTTAGTACAACTCTTGCGTTATTTTTACTGTATTACTGTTTTAATAGCAATTGTTACAAAAACAAAAAACAAAATTAAAAAATACTATCAAACATAATAGATATAAAGATATATAGATAATAAACACTATCAAAACGTGTGGATGATATTTTTTTCTTAATGTCATAAGTGTTTAATGTTAAAATCTATAATGGCAGGAAAAAAAATTAAAAGCAGTTTATAACTATTTTAAATGACTCAAAATGACGTTAGCACCTGTAATCGGAGGAAGTGAAAGGCAAGGATTTAGGAAACATTCGCTGTGTTCTGAAAAAAAAGAACAAATTATACAAAGGCTTCAAAAAAACTAAGTTAGGGCTTCTTCAAGATCGACTATGAGATTGCCTATGCAGTATTTCTAATTTCCTATACAGAATGGCAAACCTCCTTAATTTAAGATGGGTGCGATTTACCACTGTAAGGCATGCATCAGGACATCCAGGGACAGCCCAAATTAACAGCACACGCACACGGACACGCACGCACGGCCGCGGATGCGCGGAGGAAGCGGCCGGCTGGATAAACGATGGCATAGGCATTACAGCTACGGCTCTGCGGTTACAGGCTCGGCAACTACACGGACACACTCGGCTAGTGCCACACCAGGAGGCTCTGACATGCAATGGCTGGGTTACTGGTTTTAGAAGGGCGGTAACGCGTCAATTATTGGAGTGCATTTTAAAAAAAACAGCTGTCTAGCATAGGGACTGGCTCCCCTGAGGCCAGGAGACCTGTGCCCACCTCCCCCGTACCTACAAGGGTCACACCAGGACTGCCACACTTCCACTAAGCAAGAGGTTTAGACTTGACTTTACTTACCATTGGTCTCTCCTGGCTGCTTATCCCTTTTCCTCTTCTTCTTCTTTCCCTGCAGAAAACATAGACAAACAAGAAGGATTAGAATAAAACCCCAAACAAGCATCCTTGCAAGAGGGCACCGAGCAACGAGGCTGCAGCTGGAGCAGGAAGCTCCCAAGCAGGGACACCAAAGTGTGACACTGGCTCACCCCCAGTGCAGGGAACTTTGGAGGGCCCCACGGAGATGCTGCACCCCAGGACTGACTCTGCCTCCCCACCCTGTGACTTTTCAGACAGCCTCACTGCTGCCCACCCAGTGCTAACACCCACCAAGGCCATGGGCAGCTGGAGGCAGGCAGAAGGACTTGCAAGATGCTGTTTTTGAGCTAAGATCATCATGAAGCCAAAAACGTCTGACATGTGTACGCTCCTGCATGCAGAAGTTTCAAGAATCATTTGTGGTTCTGTATTGGTGCAGCAGGAAGGGGAAGGAGAAGGAGAATAGAGAGGGGAGAGTGAGGTCAGACTGAGCCCCTGGAGTTCCTCAGCACCAAACCCCAAGCATTCAAACAGACAAGGAAGCCACAGGGATGAGTGTATCCTAACCTGCAGTTTTATAGTTCCACTGAAACCTAGAAAACAATGCCAGGACAAGAAAACAAAAAACCCAGACATAGCCAAGACCCTTCCCATATTTTGCTCTATCACAAGGAAACAACCAGTAGTAATATTTTGCTAAACTCTATCCCTTTCCCAAATGCTGTACCACAAGATGATGAAATTTGTTACAGGTTTTGACTGGAGGGAGAAAAGACCATTCTGTTTCCCTCCAACAGTGTGGGAGAGGACAACTGGGAGCCCAGCCTCTGTGGAAAAACAGTAATTGCTTTCCAACAGAAAAAATATCAAATAATAAGCACAGCTCAAAAGAGAAAAGCTATTCTCTTAAGAAACTCCTCTAACACTGAGGTACAGGGTTTGCAGACTAGTACAACAGGGCCAGTGTAGGCAACAAAGTAATTTCATTTTCACAGATCTCCAAATGCTAAAAGCAACAACTTTTGGGCCAGCAACGTCAGCTGTGAACAATACAAGAATTCCTGCCTTTTGAAGACATGGCAGCAAGCACAGCTGTTGAGAAGACCTCAGAGCACCAGTCCCTTGTGGCCAAGAGGCAACAACCATATCTTGGAAGAAGCAATTTCACAGAACTTTTGAAGGGTTAGATGTATCTGGGAAAGCCAAGAGGTTCTCCCACACAGTGGGCATCTTTCTCAGTAGATGGATTACAGATACAGAGTTAAGATGGGCTTCAGCATGGCACATCCACATTTGGTATGCTCCCTATGATAGGTATCCTGGAATGTATTAGTAAAAAATTCCCCCAACATGAATGTAGGACATTGATCAGTGATTGTCCTGTTTCTCCTCCACAAAGCTGGCCTTGGGGCACAGGGTTTCTGCACTCATTCCCCCTTGCCTGCTCAGGCTTGTAAACTGCCATCCTGCTGTGCAGGCTGTTCAAGGTTTATGAGATCCTTCTGGAGATGGAAAAAGCAGTGTGAACTGTCCATCTCAAAGGAACTTTAAACAACAGCCTGCAGCCTTGATGCTGATGGCAAATAATCTCTGACACCTCTAAGGTAATGTTTTGGGATATGGAAGTTGTCAACTGCTAGAGCAGCCATCAGTCTAACATGACAAGCAGATAAGGCAGACATGCTTTGCTCAAGCACGGTATCTTGAAATCCATGTATCACATAAAGATGCAAGAGGCTCAGACTCTGCTCCATCTATACTGATCTAGATTGACAGTAACTCTGCAAAAATCAGTTAATTTTTTCCAGTTTTCAACAATGTAACCAAAACCAGACAATTGCCTCAAGATCATAAGCCTGACTTTTATTTAATCTCAAGGAGGCCACTGGCATAATTAACAGACGGCATCCGTGGAAACTTTGCTTAATTTTTGCAGTACATTTGGGAATTCAGGGGCTATTTCAATTTGAGACCTTATAACTTCTTCACTCGAGGGCCAGCCAGAACAAAGGTCAGGAGTCACCTGCCTTTCATAAGCTCTTCAAGCCAGGTATTAAAGTACTGTAATGCCTTTGGGGAGCAATCTGTTAAAACAGCTGATCTACAGGAATGTCAGCCAGGGACCAGTAATTTCTTGTTCTTTGTCAACACAAGCTTTTAAAACTCTTCCTAATAATGAATGGACAGATGTCACATCAACTTCTTTACACCCTTTTCAAAACATCAGGGAGAAGAATAATCTGGTTTGCTTGCTCAATTTTTGGGCTACAAGAGGATATTAGTCTATGTAGCTAAATTAATATATGGACTTAAGGACTTAAGAACTGTGGCAGCAGTTTTTCAAGTGCTTTGCAGAAAACCCCATTTTTTCTTTGCCTAAGATTGTTCTCCCAAGACTTGAGCAGATTTTAACATTTTCTGTCATTATACTATACAAATTTTTACGCTGTGAGTAAATATTTCTGTAAATACCTACTAACCATTTTGGTAGCTCCCTCTCCGGAGCCAAACCAACATGTGTTTTGATAGGTCTGCAGAGTTCTTTGGTACTAATTTTCTAGACAAGCAGTGAGTGAGGTGACTGGACCCTTACATACTTCTGAGTCCAGCACTCAGCACTGCTAAACATCTCATACTAGATCTCGGGAAGAGTCAATGTGCTTGTGACACCAAGAAGCCATGAGGCTGCAAGCTGCATTTCCTGAATGCACTGCTCCTGTCTCTGAAGACTTGGGCTATAGCTGGCCTTATCCTCGAGCCTGATGTGAGGTGCTTAACAATTTAACCACTTCAAGCAGCCCAAAGTCGCTCCCCTGCTAGATGTGTGAAAGGCTCAAGACCCTACAAACGGCTGAGGGAGGAGGGGCACTCAGGAGAGCTGTGACTGGACCAGGAGAGGAGACATAAATAAATCCTGCGATGATGCAAAGGTACCTCGCTCTCCTCAGGCAGGAAGGTTCCCCCTGAAGGTCACCTGGGGGTACAGCATCAAGCCGCCGGGAAAGCACCGGCTTTCTCATCCCGTCCTTTTTAGCTTGAGAAGAAAGGGTTTCTCAGTGTTCACACAGTGAGGACAAAAGTAAAAGGTCCTAAACACTGAGGCTTTGTACATGCCCATCTGTCGGTGGCACAGACACTGTGCAGAATGAGCATTCCTGAAACCTCAGTCGAGCCCAGACTCCCTTTTGAACACCCAAGACGACGATACTGCACAGTGCTGAGGAACTACCTCGAGCCTATGGTCTGACAGCCTCAGGCCAGACTGCGCTGAAAAGGGAAGGAAAATGAGCTAAGCAGGGGCTGTGCCTCAAAGTTCTCCTGGGAGGAGCACAGAATCAAGAATATTCTGAACAGGAAGAACAATTGAGCATGCACAGGTACACCTGTAATGACCAAGGAGGGAGGGCTGAGCCCAGTGGAAAGAAAAGATGATCAAGAAAGCAGAAGGATTTGAAAAAATGTCCCTAAGTACATATTGCTAAATAACTGAGCATGTGTATTCTCCACCACTGAAATGGCAAAGAGTGTAAAGAGCTGCTGCACTTCTCCTGGCTTCATTGTAGACTCTGAACTGGCTTCCTCCCACCCATACATATAAAAACACAGATTCACGTAGGCAAGTATTGTCATATAGAGCAAAACAGAATATTTATGGTAAAATAGGCAGTGATGATGATGGGGATGGAAGAGACAGACTTCAACAAAACTGCAATATGTAACTCTGCACAAAACTGGCATCAATCTTAGAGCTGATTGTCTCCAAACCTGCAGGGAAGTGTGACTAGAAGGCAGAGAACAGGGTTTTTTACAGAGTTAGAGACCTTGAAAGTTTTAGGTAATTTTTATTTAACTTAAAAAAAAAAAATCAAGATGCTGCTATAATCCTATTAAAAAGTGTTTAGAGCTCTCACCAATCCACAAATCTGTCAAGAATTTATAGGCTTAGGCTTGCAAACACTTATTACCATCTGCACCGCTTACCCTTCATGGAAGGAGCTATTTAGTACTAGGAGTTATAAAGCTGCCCTTATGCTTTTTAACAGACAAAAAATACTACCACTTTTAGCTCAAAAACAGCCTTTCCGAAAAGTAGAGGGAGGAATAAATTTTAAAACAATCCATGAATTGATCATGCATTCCAATATACTTTTTAAAAAATGAGACGGGTAGGGCGGAAAAAAGGTAATGTGGGAAGGAAAAAGAAAAGAAACAAAATACACAGCTATAGAGTGTGGAATAATTCATTTAACCCCACTTGAGAGTAAGACTTTCAAAAATAGAATGCTTTTGGTTTTGCCAGTTCTTCTCTGAAGCTAGGATATGTCATTCTTCCACTTTCCAGTACACTCTCACACAGATAAGCACAAGACACTAAAAATGGAGAGGAAAGGAGAGGAGCCCTACAAGGGGATTTTAAATTTTGTTTTAAAAAATGAAATTCAAAACGACCAGCAAGCCAAACAGCATTTCCAGATGCTGGTAAAGTGAAGGGAAGACTTTTTTTTCACAGCACTCTACTGTTATCCTCAGATTCTAACCCATACCAGTCCCAGTCAGGAAGCCGCTTCCAAGTGGGAATTACCCCCTAGCAGTTTTGTTTAACGCTGAGGGAAGCGCTTGCTGTCGTTACCAGACTGGGGTCCTGAGACTTTCCACACAGTGCTTGTGTGCAATGTGTGGTTGTAGCCCAGCAGGTCACACAGACATTTCTACAAGCTCTACTACTACAGGTGCCCACCCACATAGGAACCTACATAGTTATCCCGTGCAGACCAGCCCGGGTACAGCTGCATGTGAAGCTGTCGCTCCTTTCTTGCTAGTTCATAGTATTTCGCTTGCTCTTCTCTGGATAACGCGTGCCACTGGGGTGAAGAAAAGACAAAAAGACAAAATAAAAAGCACTAGTGTTGGGGTTTTTTTAAGCACGTTAACAGCAAAGTGTGTTCTTTATACATGTAAGTACAGTTAGAATCGATTTTCATAAAAAAGAGATAAAAACAGATGATCTGGCATGCTGACATTCGTATTTTATTTACAACTCTAGATTATAACTGCAGTTAAATCAACTGAACCACAACTAATCATTTACGTGCACTCAACCCCTTTGTCTCCTGTTGAGAGAGGAGAATTAAGAAATCTAAACAAAAACAGACAGCAGGGGAGATGGTCTAGAAGTTGAACCACTTGTCCTGAGCCAGAACTCAGTTACAGCTTTGGAGGTGTCTCCCCCACTGGCACTTTCTCACCTCTTCTAGCTTTTACAGGTGCTGATACTGGTACTGTACTCAAAGGTTTTTCATTTCCCATTTACTTTTCTGACTATCTTGGGCCAAAGTAAAAATCTATGATTTTTCATCAACCAGTCTTGGAAATGATACTGAAATAACACTGCTACTAATTAACTCTTCCCCATGAATGACCCCACCAGCAAGACGTGCCTGTGAAAACTAGAAAACAAACCAAGGGCTTTGGTTTAGCCATTTCCCTACCATTTTCACAATGACAGAAAAACACAGGGATTCAGAAGGTGTGAATCCTACCGAGTTTCAGGCCCTGCTTGTGCTTGTCCCTTGTTACCTACCCTTCGACCGAGGATTTGGTTGATGGCTGCGCTCTCTTTCAATGTGCATTCTGCTACAACTTTTGCTCTCATTTCCTTCATATACAACATAAATGCATTAAGAGGTTTCTTTATGTGTGGCTTCTTTTTCTCTTCTTCTTTTTTGGAGTCCTGATGTTTTCTGGAGAGTAAAGATACAACAGACAGAGACCTCATAGTGAGAACCCCATGTGAGTTTATTAAATTAATCCCCTCAATCTCTCTAATATTAATCCTCAGCAATCTCCAGGAAGAGGACCAGAAGGTTCTCTAGAGCCTTCACCCTGGCTGCTGTATGGGAACACTCTTAAAAGCATTACAAGAAAGAGCACCTCATGTTTATGCAACATCACCAAGTACCCTCTGAGCCCCTACAAGAACCTTGGAAGGACATGGGCTCCAGAAAAATGGAGCTCTCCACAGGAAGAGCTTGAGCATGATAGTAAATAATTACACCCCTTTATCAATGGGCTCTTGTCTTGTCTAAACTTGTTACCAGCTCCCTGCAGCTTTGAAGAAGCCATTTTTTGTTTTTTGTCTCATGTGGTGCATCTGTTATCTCATGGCTTCAAACTGGGCACTGAGTAATAGAGAAACTGGTCAAGAAGCGTGAATCTCGATCAAGAAAATTCCACTTCCTTTTGAAACAGGTGAAATTAGTAACTACTTGCCTATGTCATAGAATGACTCAAAGACTGCTGCCATCATTTGGACACACTTTGGCAGCTAAACTACGTTCAAATCAATTATAACAAAAAAGGAAAAAAAAATTGAAAAAATATTTCACAGCAAAAACATCACAAACCCAAGTCTTTTTACAAGCCACACATGCACAGGGGATGCTTTGAGTATCCCAAAGAGAAGACAGGGGAAACAACAACTTACGAGCTGTGGAGTGAGCCGACGTCGCTCTGGGAAGATTCCTGTTTGACTGTTGGTGTGACTATGGCCGGATGAGGAATTCCAGTTGTATGTAAACTATGGTGTGGCGGGACCATGTGTGGAGGAAACCTAGAGGAGAGAAAGCTGTGTAAATTGTCAGAATAAAAATGAATGAATGGGGAGGGATGTGTACACACATTTAAAACAAAAAAAACCAAAAAAAAAACACAACTGGCATATAACAAGCACATGACAGCTAGACAAAGCATATGAAAGCTGGCAGCATTAATTAGCAATAAATTAAACATAATGACTCTTCTAATGTCATTAAAGCCAATCTTCCCCTTCATTATCATTACTGACACGAGACATCATGATTTTTAACATTAACAAAAGGCGAATTCAACTGGATGAACTTACATGAAGGTGGAATTTCAGCTACCTGAAACAAAATCCACCAGTCCATTGCTTTGCTAAGAAATTATGTGTGGCAGCCAAGGAATCAATTTTTATAGTTTTGAATCATGTTGCGAATTTAGGATGACATCTTTTATTCTATATTGACAGCAAAATAAAATATTAATGCCAACACATTCTAGATGCATTTTTGATAATACTTATAGACGCCTCATTAGCTACATTTTGTTGGTGGAGCAAAAGAAAATATTTTTGTGTCTAATAAATCTCTGAGCCACATTGCTTTAACAGAAGGTGGAAGATTGTGGAATTTTTGATCCATTAAACTAGCCTAGAAAGGCTTTAACAGTCTAGCCTTTATAAAGAGAAAAAAATGTTGTCAGCTTTATGGGTTATGGTCATATATACAGACAGATCCCGGTCCTGCAAGTGGATTCAGAGGGATATGCAATCCTTCTGCATGAATCTAATTGCTTGGTCGGGATCACAGCACAAACATGGCACAATCATTCAGACTTTTTACATTTTAACAGAAATGAACAAACTTCTTAAAAGCAGGATTGACTTATATCATTGTTTCTCAACAGTCTCAGAAAGGTTTTGCAGTGAATGAGGAAAGCACAGCATGACTAACTGCCTTCCCCCTATAAGTCAACAGGTTTCCAGGGAACGGGTTCTAGCCTAAAATTATGTTTCAGAAGTAACTTTCCTCAAAACACCAGAATTAAAGTGATGTGGCAAGGGCTTTTCTCACTGCAAATCCCCACTCTCATCCCAGATTTTGAACAATCTGATCCAGGTAAAGTAACCCAAGATTATGGAACACTCAATGGGATAAATAATTATTTCTTCTATTATCAATATACAATGATTTTTTTCCATCCATCAAGATTTAAAATAAAGTGATATGCTATGGATATCGCAGTGTATAAGCATCAGAAATATAGTGGGGCTATCTTTTTCTCTCCCCTCTTATAAATTCCAATACCAAACTTAACAATCCCACCCCTATGACTGCCTAGACATTTTCTACATTCACAAGATGACACAGAAGTACTTTCATGAACAAGAGCACTGTCCACTACAAGCTCTGAGGATCTTTTGTCTATCAGCTGGTTGTACTCAGGGTGGTTAGACAGAACTATTTTGTCTTTGAAGGCAGTGGTGGGAAGAGCAAGGACTGACAGGGAGAATATGAAATTGTTCAAGTTGTAGAGCATTGCAGTTCTTCATGAACAAAGGCACTGAGAGAAGGGAGGCAGGAAGGTGGGATGGCAAGGGAAGAGAAGAATGGGCAGCAAAATGGTCATTCCTACTTCTGCTAAAGACTCACAGACACAAATCGCCAAGTGGATTGTCCAAGTGCCTTCCCACTCTCTGACAAAAGTAGCTGGGAGAGAAGCACACATTTGAGGATATACTTTGGTTCATGGTAGGTCAGAACAGATGACAATGTCGAGGCTGCAAAGGAGACTGGCATCCTTGTCCAAGTTCTGCCACAGAACTGCTCACCATCAGCAAGACACAAACTGGGCCTTTGTATTTTTTTTTCTGTTCCTTCTCTACTTCCATGTGTATGTATTTTGATTGGACATACCTAAAATCTGTTCATACAGACCCTGGGACCTTCAAACATGGTACAGTGCACATTAAAAACTGTCAGTATGAGTTGGATTGAAAACAAACAAAACTAACAAATATGATCAAAAATAAAACTGGTGGCAAAAACCTGACCTCGCTGAATGCAGTCTAAACACAGTGATAAAAGGTTGAGGCACATCCTATCAAGTGACTGCCCTAGACAAGACCCAGTGTTTCAGAGAGGACTATACTGCTGGGGCTGGCTAGGCCAGAGACAAGGGGACAGTGAAGGATGAAGATGGAGATGAAAAGCCTTCCTTCAGAGAGCAGGCAGGAAGAGCTCTGCTGGTCTGGCATGAGGGCTCAGCATGGAGTGCGGTGGGCATGTACCAGCAGGGAGAAAATCTAAGTACAGAGCACAACATACACACATTGTGTGAAAGCCTGAAGGATGGCAAAGCCTCCACTGACCTCAGCTGGGATATTTTACTCACTGGGCTCTAAAACTCCAGAAACAGCAGCCTTCATCAACAGGCTCAGTGGTTATTTTCAGGGTTTCAGTTTCCACGAGGAAGTGCTGTGTTCATTGCCAATGACCATTCACATTTTCATACTGAATCTGTCCAATTCACAAGGCTGCCTATTGGACTTACACACCCATTCCTATGTTTAGAGCTATAAAAACATGCTCCAGAACCCAGAGCTGCTCTCATAATCCCATGGACTTCCACTGGTGGGATGAGGGCTCAGCCCAAAATCTGAGTGCCTGCTCATTTCCATGTTGACAGCCACTCACATGGCAATATGAGCAGGGGAAGGGTGCTAATTTTTAACTTCCTGGCTACACTCCAGTAATTACATTCAGCAAAAGTGAATTTCCCCTGAAATTTCAATTACAGAAGGTATTTTCCACTGCCACCACTTAACTGCTGTGCAGTGTTTGTCTGGTGTAATTCTGCTAAATTATTTCCTGATTTCCTCTCACAGCAGTTGTTTTTTCATAGTAGGTCCACTGTTTGCCCATCACTCAGTTAGCCCTGTCTCATTTTACCTTAAAGGCATATTACAGAGGGGTAATGAAGGACCAAAAGATCTTACAGGCATAGTACAAGCATACAATGCGAGTGTGGAATGGTTACAAGCAGCAACTAAGAGTAGTAAATGGTTAAAACAACCTTAAGACACTACCTTGACAGTCTAAACCATTTATGAAAAATCACTATTAGTCACCCATTAACCTTGTATAAGCTATTCATAAGCACACTTTAACTAACAAACAGTAATTTCTAAGCTTAGGGAACTAAAGGTTGGGAAGCACTACAGGCTCCAAAGATCCACACCATAATGCAGGTAAAGATGGGAACTACTTTTGAAGGAAGGCTCTGGAAAACTGTGGATGGAGGGGTGAGGTTTGAGGTCTGTGCTGACTTGGGGCACAGCCAGGACAGCAAAGGCAAGGTTTGCAGCAGGGGCTTGTAGCAGGGCCCTGCAGGGCAGCTGCCCAGGGCCAGCATGTCTGGAGGTCAGCATGGGCACCACCAGGAATCTCCTGACCACACCAGACACCTGGACAAGGGTTGTCCCCCTGCTGAGCCCAGGCTGACACGGGAGAACATACATGAAATCATGTATGAGAGCACAGCTTGCCCAGAGGGTGTTCCCATCTACAGGAAACCAGAGAAGTTTCTGGGCTGAAACAAAGGGTAAACACCTTAAATCAATTCATCCCCCAGCACGTGTGCCTGAGCACGTGCACACGTACGGGCTTCTGTGAGAGACAAAAAGAAAGGCTCCCTGAGTATATGCACACCCCTCACCTTCGCCTAAGACATTCACCAGATTTTTTTTTCTCTAGACAAGTATTCCATGAATTGCAATAAACACCCTAAAAATTCTAAGCAGCTCATTATACACCACTGTCTCCTTTTATGGCTCCAAGCCAGAATATAATGATGAGTCTTAACTTGTTAAGGACAACTAATTTTTTGTTCCTGGCTGTCTCAGGGGCTTCTCTCTTACTCACTCTCACTTTACTTCACTGTTGACATGTTTCTGTTAACTGGATGTCATCTGCCTGCCTTGATTTTATGCACAAGCAGTGGGATGCATTTTTCTGTGCAACAATTCTGCTTTGAGTTGCATTAGATTTGTCATTATTCTCTCATTTTCCCCTTGCACTTGTAACATTTCATCTATTCCTGCCTTATTTTTTGAGCCACGGTGCACCCACATTATGGTTTATACATGATCTTGCTCCCTTTGAAGCCGGCAGATTTCAGAGCCAGCCCTCGTCAGGAGAAGTGCCTGCTACCAATTTAGCAGGCTGAGGGCCCCGAGCTCCAACAACTCAATCTAAAGGGGGTCACAGGGTGGCACAAGCGAGTGTCAGCAAGTGCTGTTTAATTGCCAATCTAGGCTTCTCCATGGTGTTTAAAGTATAATGACCCATCACTTAATTCTGAGAAGTCCTGGCCCTGCTGCTGAATGGAATGAATATCAAAGGATGTGCTAGAACAGGGCAAGGAGCCTACATTTCCTATAACTGCCATAAGTATAATAGACCTCTACTTCTGTCGTCCCATTACCACAATAATGTATTTAATTTGCTGTGTACTCTTTTTAACTAGATACCTTTCATAAAGTCTATCTTGGGAATATAGCCCCCCTTGCTTCCACATCTCCCCCCTCCCTCAAATGACTAGCCTCTCTAATAATAATTAAACTAAATCAAGCTCTACTTTGCCTCACACCATGCCTGCAAGTCTTTTATAGATATTAAAAAAGATTAAATAGGGGGAGGGAACCATTGCTTAAATTTGCAGCTCTCTCCCCAGCCTAGTATTTTTTTCTGTTCTGGAACTACACTTTTTTTTTTAAAGTTGATTTTCCAGTTGTCTATTTGCTGGACCAGCATTTTAATTTAAATTCTTAGTTTTTTTGCTTACTTATCTAAAGCACACACCACACTGTTTTCCCACCCATTCATTCACAAGCCCTAGGTACAGATTTCCACTTCTCAGTGAGGTGTGCTTCCCCCCATCCTCACCAGTCTTTTCCTCCTTAGATCATCTATGCACCAACGGTCACATGTTAAACTGCAGAGATGGAGAGGAAGGGACAGAGCAGGGAAGAGATGTGGAACCTTGCTATGTAATGCATGCTAATTTAATTATGTGCCATCATCAAAATGGATTAGCTGTTTCAGCCCATCAGGAAAGTCTAAACTTCCACCGATTTAATTAACCAGGCTGAAAATCAGATGAACAGAAAATAAAACTATCATTAGGAGCAATTACTGATTACTTAAACATAGTGCTGCCAACCAGTTTGTAAATAAAACTAGCAGCCCCTGGAAAATTAGATGGAATTAATTGGAGGTAGGGAGGGGGAGAAATATATACTTCTAAAGCTTTTGAGGGTCAGGCAGGCCCTTTTATGTTGACTATTAGTGTTTGGAGCTTTGGGAGGGGAAAACACAGCACAATAACCTTCCTCCCAACTCTGCTGAAGAGCAGTCCTCCTCCCTCCTGAGCCTTCCCTCCCACGCACACAGCGCTGCTCTGGCTGATGGCCACCGAGAAAGCAAAGGCTACCACAACTTCTTGCTTTTTCAACATTACATCCTCCCAGCTCTTTCATTTGGTTTGGCTTTTAAAGCTGGCTTCTCACTCCTCCACCTCTCTAAGACAAATTCTTGAGGCCCAATGACAGCATTAGGACACCACCTTCTCTTCACATGGGAAGGCAGCCCTCGCCCTCTCCTCCACCCCACCAAAAAGCTAAGGATGGATGTTTAACTAAAGTGCTTTCAGAAATCTGCTGCCTAGACGAAATGCTCTCCTCTCCTACAGAGAGTGGGAGGAGGAGCTACATTTGCTCTTGATTTAGGACCTCAGTATTTGAACTCACCTTGACATGGAAGCATTGACAGTCAGAGCTGTTGGGTAAGGGTGGCGGAAACCCCCTGTTGTGATTGGGTACACTGGCTGACCTTGCCTGGCAAAAAAGAAGGGAGAGAGAGAATGAGAGAAAGAAAAAAAGGGCTTTAAGAAAAAAAAAAAAGAACAACAAAAAACTTCTCTCTGCACAGTAAGCTTTATTCTCATTTGATCAGAACAAAAATCTTGGGGATTGTACAGCAAGGATCAAAGGAAAGAAACACAGAACAATTTGAATGCCATAAATCTGATAGGAATGGCTAATTAAATTTTATAACCTCTGCTTATGTCAATAGAGACCCTCTCCCCAAGCTGAAACTAGGTGTTTTGTTGTAATAATTAAAGGCGAAGTCTCGCTTGCTTTAATGGAGCCATCACACTAATTGAGGGCTACACATCCAAAGGAAAACAATAATGAATGTAAATTTATACCAAAATAAAGTACAGTGAATCAAAGGACTTCAGTTGCGCTTTGGGCCTCTTTCGGTATTTAGATCTCGGTGAGAAAACATTAAATTAACAGAGCTTAATTTGTAGCCTTTTGTCAGATTAACAAGTGTTGACAAGAGTTACCGGGGGAGAGTCCCCAAGAAGTATTGTGGGTAACCAATAGACAATCACACTTCATTACAATAATTAAAAAATACAGCAACATGCAAAACAGCATCCTCATGAAAGACACACAACTTTTTCTGATGGAGGTTTGTCTGTGCTGGCTAGCTCGTTTCATCTGTCCTTCAAATACATCATCTGACTGGGCAGGATGAGTTTGGGGTGGGTACTATGCCAGAAACACGCAGGCCAGTGGAGGATAAATGGGCTGGGAAGTTGATGGTGAAGTGCAAGTGGCAAGGAGAGGGGAAATGAAAAACTTGGGGTACTTCTCTGAAGTTGGCCATGCGACTCTCCTAGGGCAAAAGCCAGTGTGATGGGGGTGTCACCCCTCAACACAAATCACTGGGAGAAGCTGTAAGAGCTGTGGTAGGCAAGCACACCATGGTGCTGACTTGTTCTGAAGCAGCAGGGACTACAGAGGTGGCCATTAGCACCTGTCTGGTGAAACTGGCCACATATGGCATCATTCAAGTGCTCTGGCAGCCATGGCATGAGGTCCAGGAGGACAAACAAAGGTCTGCACAAATACATACACCCACATGAGCAATGGAGTATAGGTCAGTGAAGAGTTTCTTCCCTGCGCTCTCATGTCTTTCTTATCATTGATTTTTGGCACTACCTGAGTGTATTTGTTTCAAATGTTGAGAATGTTCCTTGAGCTAAGGAGCTCCATGCAGTCTACAATTGTTCAGGGTGTCCTTTGGATAAGGTAAATCACCATAAACGAGGAGGAATTTCAGATTTCAGGGAGTAATGCTTTGGATTTTTCTTCTGCTCATGATGTGCTCTTCTGGAGAAGCAACATTCAGCAGAGGTAATGGACATGCTCCACCCTCAGGGTGGGAGAACCTCTACCCAAAATAGCTGCATGACCACCCACAAGGAAGGGCAAGCTGCAAAATGGCCAGAAGCTCCACCTCTCCTGCATCAACACTTTTATGCTTGAGAAAGGCCTCCAAGGCCTCTGATGCCACCACCTCTCCTTGTGACCTCCTGCCCTGCCCTGCTCTCCTATGTGCTGTCAAATCCAGTTCCTCATGGAGGAACTTGTGGAGAGGAATTTCAGCACAGCTGGCCAAACAACCTCAAGCAGGAGCAAACTATTTTGAACTTTTGGCAATTCATTTCTATACAAAATACGATCACCCCAAAACAGTGGAGGCCTATTACATGAGAAAAACAGAGTAACAGTCTTGATTTATAATGCAGCAGACTGTTGTATCCAGCAATACAAAATTATTTTATAAACATTTAAATCAAATATACTACACAAAAGGCTTAGGCAGGCTTAAGTGTATTATAAACCTATTGAGAGGTGGCAACATAAGAAAAAAAAAAGGAAAATAAGGACTCAATTACTGCTGGAAACCTCATATCCAGCAAGGCTCTGCAAGTGGGATCTGAGATGTTGAAAATAAAACAAAACCCCAAACTAACTTTCCATTGCCTTTTTCTTAGACAGTTTTAAAGTAAACTGATTCCTTTTTCTTGTTTAAAATTCCATTCCTCAGATGCCAATTGCCAACTGCCCAGCTGCAACTCAACTAGGAATGCTGCACGCTGGCCTATGTAAAGCTCTAGTGTTTCATAAGAAAAACAATAGGGTTTTCAATATATAAGGCAAATGAAATTTAAAATTGCAAATTTGTAGTGAGGATGGCCCTAGTGAAAAAAGAAGGGTCTGTGAGAACTACCCTGAGCCCCTAGAAAAGCAAATCCAAGAAAAACTTATGTGGTGCAGTGTAAGGGCAATAACAAGGAAAGGACATTTCTGCAGAAGGGTTTAAAAATTCATGCTTCATGGGCTGTCAGCTGGTTGGGATGACATGCAAAGCTGTGTCTAACTGCTCAGGTTTGTTCATGACCACATGACCTGGCATATATTTTAATTAACCTTCATGAGGTGGGTAAATTCATAACACTCAGTGAAGTGGCAGTTGGCAAGCAAACTCATCCCAACACACACACACACACAGGAACATACATATTTTTACAGAAGTTTTACATATCAGAAAAAGAAAAAAAGAAATTAAAAAAATGGAACTCCTTACTGTGGTACTAACCATCCTAGCGGATGGGGGATTTGTCCTACAGTGCCTGGTGATAATGGATAATAAGGAGATATATCTGGAGGATGTGGAGGCCTTGGAATTCCTATAGAAAAGGAACATAAAGCAGCGTCAGTACTGAAATGTGGAAATAAATAAAATATAAAGAAAAAAACGCCTATGTTTCTAAATTTCTGTCAACTTACTTTTATTACAGTATTTGTGCCTTCACTTAGAGTTTTCAAAGGCTTTTTCACATTCTCATTTTTTAAACAAGAAAGAATGATGTTATTCACTCCCTCAGTCACCTCTCCAGTCAGAGATAACTATTTTTGTTATTTAGAATTCAGCAGTCTCAGATACAATTTTGGTGTGATGCTATACTAGATATTCTCTTAAATGTTCAACACAAAGATGGACTCTGCAACAATTTCATGCTTATTTTAGTTTCAAAGTCAGCCAAAAGACCACAGGCCCTACCCATGTGGTGACTGGGTACTCAATAACATGGCATTATTCCAAAGTAATCTCAAGAACAAGTTTAAAAGTCATTAAAATTGTAAATAATGTTTGCTTTTAAGCAAACCTAGGAAAGCTTTTCTGAAACCAGGAGTGGAGGTGAGGGCCCCTGGAAATGTTTGGTAAAACCAGGGGCAGATGTTGAAGGTGTGCAGGGGAGGATAGAGAGCTCACCCATCCTCTCTGGATGAGGTACAGCTCCTACTCAGAAAGCAGAAACCAGCTCCAGACACAAGCCTTAAATATGAGTGCTCCTTACCTTAAGAGCAAATAGGAATTACTCAGAGGAGTAAGGGGTACAAAGCTGGATCTTTCAATTAACAAGCCATGGCACAATTACACAGCAGAAGCAAAATTAAAACAGAGAGCATTAAAAAGAAGGGGTACGTATTCAGGGCTACAAATTATTTTTTTAAATCACTTGGGAAGCTTTTAATGTCTAAATTAAATCTCCTTGTGTGACATTTTAATGCAGACATTGCTTTTTCTCCATTACAAAACCCAAACAGATTAACTGGGCTTTAACCATCCAGCGAGCTATTTGCACACTTGAAAGAATGTTCACAGAAGAAAAGTAAACAGTCTACAGACGTTAATCATATGTTTTACGATAGCCATTTAAAAGCTATTCCCTGTACTACCATTATTTAAATGAGAGACTGACTATGCCATTCACTTGCAATACCCAGGGATGGTGAGATGGATTCCTTTCAAGCCATGTGAAGTCAGCATTAAGCACAATTAAAATGGGGCCCCAGTTGAAGCATATCAAGTGACATCCAGCTAATGTACAGTCTCATTCAAGAGCTGGAGTTTAGATAAATTATCTGCATAAGTTAGGGCTGACACAGAGTGATTCCTTTGACATGAATTCTGTTTCTGATGAACTTCCCAATTAACTAAATGGGGTTTGGATTAACAAAACCAAAAACCACTGTCACTAGGAACTCAGTACAGCCTGGAGAAATAAGATTGACACTGTTTGACTTCTTTGGGACCTCAGGTTAAAAAGGGACTCTTAAAAAGTTAGAATAACATGTAAATTCTACTCTGTAACACCAATAAATCTAGTCAGGATTTTACGTGGTGCTCTATATTCAAGCAGAGTGCCCTTCAGGCTGAACTTAGAGTTGGGTAGGCTTACATTGGGGAAAAGAGTTGCAAGTGTAAAGCTGAAGCTAAGTAGTTACAGTGGATGAAAATTCAACATTATAGAAGAAAAATGGCTGAACTCCTGACACAGAAACAATGGGATTTGGGGAATTAAAAGAGATTCATTTTGAAACCGGTCATGACCCACCACCTTTAAAATTCCAGCTGCAATTTTGTAAGTGCAGATCACAGAATGTACATGTTTAATTCTCTGGGTCATGCATGCAAACCAAGCACTGGTAGATTGAACTACCAGGTGGGGTATCATGCTTGGAAAGAAACACTCCTGCAAACGACCCCACACATGCAACTCTGGTGTCACTCTGCAGAAGCTCTATGAAAATTCACCCAGTAGGTTTCCTTCTGAAGTCTAATTGGCTTAAAAAGAAAGTATTTTATCTGGGTTTGACATTTTACATGCCCCCTTTGGTGCTCCAGCATGGGAAATCCATTCTCCTGCACTCGTCTCCCCCAGTTCCCAAAAAGGGAAGATCTACCCACTCTCAAAAGAAACCCCAAAATACTTCCCACCTACCTGTTTTGGGATCTACGTCAGCTGGTAAGTGTGGAGGAGGGTTTCCTGGTGTGAAGTGCTCATTGCTGTATGTGATAAGCGGCGTAAGAGGGTGTACATGGTGTGGGTGCTGCACAACTGGCACTTTGTTAGACTGTCAAGAGAAAAAGGTTGACACTGTTAGAGCAGTGCTGGGCATCCCCCCACTACAGCATGAGGTATGACATACAAAAATCTGAGTAGCCAGGATTTCAGTGTGATCCTCAGACTTTTCCAGATTCCTTCTTGGTGTCACCCTTGCCGTTTTCCCACCCTCTTGCTTAAAACCTCCTCACACACTTTCTCTGCTGTTGAGGTTCTTTAATCTTTTTGACCTGTCATGCTCCTGTACGGAGCAACAGCAATTCTTTAAAATTTTTCCTTTCTATTTTATAATCTTGTGCTTCACCTCCAAGATGCAGGCAGACTCCTCAGTGAGGGGCTGAGAGAGTCCCCCATTTAATTAGCAAGAGACCCAAATGCTCACTGACCTGTAGGTCTTTTCCTTTCCCTTTCCTGTCCTCAGTCTCAGTTCTGCATTTTACTGCTCATTGCAAATACTCCAGATAAAAAGCCTTTGTAGTGCTGGAGTATTCCCTTCATCAGCAAGCATTAAGCTGACAAGCGATCACCTGCATATTTTATATATATATTTTAGAAGAGCTGATTAATTATCAATTCATCAGAGAGAGTTAATAAATGGGAACTGGATACTGATTAATTAGGCTACTAAAATATTCAGCTATATAAATAATGGCAAAACCCCCCAGATAAAGCCATTGAAATTAACACTCTTGTAGGGGGAATAATCACGTAGATATCATGAGGTTTTCCTCATCGCATTCCTAGCTCTGGGGGAAGAAAAATATTTTTCTCAACAACAATTAAAAAAAAAATTTTTAAAGGAGTGAATGAATGAAAGAAAACGGCAGGCTGAACTGTAACTTACCCTTACAAGATCACAAAGAAAAAATTAAGCTGAAACCAGCTGAACCGCTGGACCATTTACTGCAAGTAATCCAATTGCAAAAAACCCTATTCCCCATAGAGGATTTTCACTAAAATCCTACAACAGGGACATTTAACCAGATTAGGTACCAGCAAAGATAAAGAGGCTGGTATTAGATGATGAATGGATTAGAGTCAGGTTTCATTTTAGAATGTGTCTTCATTTCCTTTTATTACTTTAAGTAAGGAACAACTTGCATTAACATCAAGTAAAAGGAATCACATTAAAATAAAGTAGTGATACCACGGTGGCCGCGATAGCGCCGCTGCTGTTCAGGGTCTGCCAGCACTCTCCTGCTCACCCTCCTGCTCCAGGATGGCTCCAAGCCCACTGCTCACTCCCCAGCACCCCCAAACACATGCACACACCCTCACCGTGTCTAAGCCACCTTAGACAAGCTATTGCTATTATCTGATCTGGCTTCCAATGCTCTGAGTTTCCCTTAAAAGCAATTCAAAAATAATTCAGTTATTCTTTGGGAACGAGCTTCTAGACTATGAGGAAGGAAGAGGATGACAAACTGGGAGCAAGAAGGAAAAGAAACATCTGTCTTCCCTGAATAAACAAGAAATTTCTCCACCACACTTTGGCCACATGAAGCCCCTTTGGCTGCCCCAGCACTTGCCATAAGTGGCTATTTGGGCTCACTGCTTTGATAACTGCAGAAAAAACTGTTCATCCAAAACAAGCCAGCCAAAAGCTGTACCTGTGCTTCCCACAGCTTCTCCTGTGTTTTTCACCATGTTCATCTCTTTCTGCCACCCTTAAATGGGATGATTCCTCTCCACCACCAAGCATTTGGCACAGGGGATCCCCCCTGTCAAGTGGCCACCACACAGGAAAGAACGTGGTCACAACAGCCAGTGCAATGATTAACAGCACGTTGTGTTGGCTGGGCTGTGGGTCAGATCTGCCAGCTGAACAGCCAAGGACAACTTTTGGCCATACAGATCCATAATGGTTTCACATAAGGAGGAGATATGAGGATTTGGCTCTCCAGTTCAAAAAGTCAAAGGAGATGCTCTAACCCAAATCTGTTCAAGTGAACCAACCTAAGCAGTCCGAAAGTAACTGAAAGCTTTGGTAGGGGTTTCACCTAACAAATTATATTTCACACCACACAAAGTAGCTGGCATCTCCTCAACAACACATGACATTACAAGCCAAATGACCAGTTGATGGGGTTCACAAAAATGATCATTTCCAATAAGAGCTATTTTTTCTGGCCAAGAATTGTGTGAACTCCTGCTGTTAGGTGACCCACAGTGTGGCCCCATTTATTGAAGAAGTTAATACATGCTGTAGCTTTGTGCTCTCCCAACTCTATCTTCACAACATTGTAAACCTCACCCAGACCCTGACAGACACTAAGTGCTGTCTTCCACAGAGAGCTTATTTTCACAGAAACTGGAGCTGGTTAGTTAAAAAAATAAGTAGAATAACATTAGAGGGTCAGACTTAAGCTGACAAACAAGAAACAACACGTGAGAGGAAAGCTGGACTGACATGGCTCCATCACCAAAGCCAGATGTACCATAGGGGGTTACATGTAAACTGTGGGACACCACCACTCCTTGCTTTGATATACCAAGACCGCCCGCAATATCTCCACAAAACAGAACAACTGCTAAATTACTATGTATTGCATTTAACATGTTTCTGAGACAAATAAAAAGCAAAAGGAAAAAAAAATAAAAATCAACAACTAAGAGTTTGAACCTTAAGTCTGTAATTTTTTCCCCTGGTAAGTAATTTTTGTTTAGGCTACTACCATGCACCCAAATGAACCACTCACATAAATGTGCCAGGGTAGGATACTCTTTTGACACTCCGATGATGCTGGGGCAGAGGTGGGGGGAGAATGTACCAGGAGAAAGGAAGAAACTGTCAAAACATGCTCAAAAATATGCTCTCTGGGACAGAGGAGTGTGATCCACTTCCCAGGGAGTCAGTCTGCATCTGTACCACTACCCAGGGACAGGTTTCCATTCTGTTTTTCACTGTTTACACACACTGGGGAAAGGGACCATAACTCCCCTCAGAACAGCACACACAATTTGCAAGCCAAGCTAAACATCTGTAATATGCTAAACAAGCTGCTCTTTAAAAGTACTGTTCCTGAAGTTAACTAAGCTTCATTGGAAAAGAAAAATAAAGGACTATCTGGGAAAGAGCGGGATTAATCCTGCAGATGCATCTTCCTTTGAAGACAATGGGAGCTCTGCCTGAGTAACAAGTGTGGTCCTAACCCCATCCACTGGCAATGAAAGGTAAGCCACAGAAGCCATCAATAGGAGACACCCATTAGATGACTTTAGACATCCCCCTGCAAAAGGCAGTATTTTCCAATATACATTTGTGAGCACTTTATCAAGGGCACTTTTAAGCTAAGAGCCATTGTGAGATGCAGGCATTCCTCTTGCAAGCTGAAGAGTTCCATTTATGGCTCTGTCAGGCATGGGAAGGGGAGCTGCCCTGGTACACACAGATTAGCATCAGGACATGTGGTAACAGGACAGGAGCAAGTGGAGATTTCTAAAGAGAAATCCCTGCACCTAAGAAGTACCAAGCCCTCTGCTGATAAGTCACCCCTCTCCACCAAAAGCTGAGGTCTCGTATGCTAGGTCAGAGGTCATGCTAAAGAACTGCAAAAAGACAAGAGAAGTTTGCTTTTTCTTGGTAACTGCTGCCTGAAGCAACCAGAAGAAACTGTCCCCATAGCGGGGGGGTTCTACTACTAAACATCCCTACGTGAATTTGAAATGCTTCTGGGAGTGTTTAAACACAGATCAGTTTAAACAATAATGGAGCTCTAGAACGAAAAAAATTTCCACACCAAAACCACAACAAATTTTGGACTGATGAATGTTTGAAAGGAGTACTGAGATCCATATAGACTAAGTTCTGATAGGTGCCTTTAGGGAACAAAAAACTTATCTTAACTTCAGATTTAAACTGCAGGGGATTGTGTGTATAAATTGCTGTGTATTAGTCTTTGTTGCATGGTAAGGACATTTCATTAACAGGATGAAAGATGCTTCTATGTGTATACAGCCCAATTTAATACACCCCACTGATGAATACTCCCCATTTATTGAAGAAGTTAATACATGCTGTATAAATCAATAGTTCCTAAGTCTCTGAAAGCAACATAGGACTTGCACAAGATGAAACATTGTATTGTTGAGCACACAAAGAGAAACCAACCTCTAAACAGGAAGAGTTTACTACTGCAATTTCTGCTTGCAAATTCATGGCTTTGGTAAAAAAAAAAAAAAAACACAGTAGCATATCAACTCTAAGTCAGAAAAAAATATGCCAGAGACACCAGAGGATGCCCTCACCAGGATAACATGCACAAAAAGCCACCCAGGCTGAAAACAAGCCATCGTGCCATGGCAGCATCGCAGCGGCCAAAGCCTTCGGCCCCTGACTCCTTCCCAGCGCATCCCGAGGGCAGGGATGCTCCTGCCCCAGCCCAGCCTGGAACTCCAGTAGCTGCCAGCATAGCCCACGTAGCTGCACCCCTTTCCCTGACCTGGGGAGTCTTTGAAATATCCTGCAAGCCCTGCCTGTGAGGCAGGGAGGTGCTGCAGCCCCCCGGGCGCCCCTCAACCCCCCACGACCGAGAGGGACTGAGCAGGTGCTCCCACCCAGACCCCCGGAGCCCTGGCCCCTTCCTCCACCATCAGAGGAACCAGAGCTCTCCATCCTCCTTAAAACCTATTAATCAAGAGACACTGAAAACAAATGGAGCTAGAGCTCCGCCTGTCTTTTTGCCATGTCCTCCTCTTCCCCACTTCCTTTTCTGCTGAAGAAAGATGGGCCCTGAAAGTGCCTTTATGAGCCAATACAATACAATAAAACAAAAGCTGCACAGAAGAGGGTTTGTCAGCCTTTTCCCCTCCTCCAGGCTGGATGCAGGTCGGCAGTGGTCTTGAATTAGCAGGCCCTCCTGGAGTTGCTCCCTGGGCTTAGCAAGGAGTACCATTCAACACCAGTTCACATTAAAAAACAGGTTTCTCTGTATTTTCCAGATGATGGTATTGCAGTTATGCTGACTGTGGCCAGTGAAATGCTAAAGATGCTCCTGAACTGCTCTGCAGTTCCAAAGATGCTCATAAAAGGAGGGATTTTTTTTCCTAAAGTTTGATCTCTCCCTGATTCTGCCTAGGAACGACATCCTTACACCACACTCACCCCCTCACCAATATGATGCCCCACAAAAATCAGGAAATTAAGTTGCAAATAAAGGCAAATCCCCAAAATATTGCTGCAAATATTGAAATATTTTCCCACTTCCAGCAGAGTCAACACCACCCAAAGCAAAGCATCTGCAAGCACCACTGCAGGTCTGGGGATCACCCACATCAGCAGCCACTCTGGGTGGCACCCCAAACTACACCAAGGAAACTGCATACCATTTAGGTTAACTGAGAAGCCAAAACCAACCAAACCCACCAGCTATATGCAACTTGGTACTTATCCCCTTCAAAAATTCAACACGAGTGATGAAGCATTTCCTGAAAAACATCAAAGATTTAATTTTACCCAGCCCTGTTTCAGTAGTGAAGTCACAATTTATTTTTTTAAGGATGCTTTCACACCTGACTAAGCATTTCTGAAAACTACTTCCCCTTGCTCCTTTATGGCTGATACAGTGGCCTGAGCCCTTTCTCAGTTTAATGTAGCTGATTCCTGCCTAAGGTCCTGCCCTAAGCTAACTGCCCATTGTAGCAGGAGACAAGGCCTCCATTGATAATCACAACTCACCCTGCTAAAAAAAGGCTCATTTTCTTCTTTCACACAAATGATGACAGGACCACTGACAACCATGCGCTGGGACAATACCCTCACCAGGCAGAGCCTTAAAAAATAACCCCAAAAATCCTGCAACAACTCCCACTGCCCTACACTTAGTATATAAATTTAAAAAAATAAATAAAATGGGCACACACACACAAACACACTTTTGCAGCCTTCTGTTTCTTCCCCTTCCCCCTCTGACCACTCCCCAGGCCAGTTAGTGCCTACCTGCTCCTGCAAGAACTGCTGGATAAAAGAACTGCTGGATTTATTTTCAATAAAACCCCGTGGTCTATTAGCAGTCTCTCAGACAAAACAACAAAATCAGCTTCCTGGCTCTAAGTGTCCAGCAATTCATTCATGAAAAGAATAATTTGGGGTTTTCCCCCCTCTTTTACTCAGATGAAGTGTCCCCTGAATATTAGACAGCTAAGCCACTGTGCTTGACATTTTTCCACATCCTTCCTGTCAGGGTGCGAAGGTACTGAGGGGAGGGGGTGGGGAAATGAGGATTTAAGATGTTCAGGAAATTTCCACTTAATTTCGCCGAAAGGCAATTATGTGAAATGATCTGGTGACAATTAGCATACGCCAAATCCTCTAGTGTACAAGGGGAAGGACTGGGGTTTAGCTATCTAATTACCGCCTGTTAGTGCCGATGCAGGAGGATAAAACACACTGGTAGTAAAACATTATTAAGTGTGCTCACACTCAGCTTTCAAAGCTGTTGTGGGCTGAAAGTTTATTACTATGGTGTTTGGAGTGGGGTTTTAATTTTTTTTCTTTTTTTTTAAGTAAAAGAAAGAAACTTGGGGTTTTAAATACAAGTTAAGTGCTGTAGTCTTGGACAATGTGGTGTAACTCTAATGTCAGGTCAGACTCAAACAAGCACCTGCTACACAAGTGTATAATTTGAGATCCTTCAGCAACACTGGAATTACATTTACAGCAGTCAGATTTTACCTTACTTATTCTCTTAATGCTTCACTGATAAAGAGAAAGCACTCTTCTCACCTGCTCTGCCTCACTTCAGCATATGAATTCACACACCAGTTACATCATCTATAGCCCAGAACTGTGGCCTGCATGTATCCAGGCAAGCCTTACACTGAGTACCAGCATTAGAGATTATTTGATCAACAGGTGGATTTTCCCATACCAGTAGGACAGAATAATGCTCAGTCCCTTTAAGTTTCAGGTAATAAAGCACCCAGATTTATTTCTTCCATTACAAAAGGAGAGGCAGTTTCTTCCCCAATGAGACAAACACTCCGTGCTTTTTCTGCATACTTTAGTTAAATTTAATTCCTAGACAGATGCCATCTCTGCAGAGCAGGCAAGCCTTCGTTCATTCTAACAAGGCAAAAAAGCAAAAACACTTGGCACATATTACATTAAAACTGAAAAATACCTTTTTGCTAATCCATACCAGTACAAGGTGTGCTGGATGCACAACTACTAAGCAAAGAGATGGGTGAAACCAAAGCAGGTCTCTGAACACAAACAGGGTAGGAAGGGGAGAGGCACAGAGCAATAACACAAGCACAAAAATTAAGAGATGAGAAGCAGAGAAAAAAGCAAATATAAGCAAAATAGCACTTATAATTGCCTCAACAGACCTTGCTCCATGCTTTTGTGTGAATACCTAGTGATGCAATTTGATTTACTGCCCAACATTCTCCGAAATACCTCATTATAAACAGCTTTAATTCTTGCTTATAAACCACTTATTTCAGCACTAGACAGACATATGTACTGTAAAAGAAAAAGCTCCTGATTTTTATTAGGGTATCTGTGATTTCTGTCTATAGCAAGAACTTGAATGTGAGGCTGTTAAAAAACTGCAAGAAATGAGAGAAAATTAGCACATATGCCTATACTTTCTTGTACTTGGCAATTTCAATAATAACAGCGTTATTAAAAAACTACCATGCACATACACGCCTTAAGAAATGATGAGAAGTTTTCAGTACAGCTTTTTAAAACGCAGCTTTCACAGCGGACTGTGCTCAACACCGATATGGAACACATGTAGCAAATGTATATTAAATTCCTTAACAAATAACAAGGCTCTAAAAACTGTTTTCATTTTTTTATATGCTAAAAACATTACACGCAGCACAATTAAGCAATGCAATTATTAAGTAAATCCAGACCAATTATTTCTTGAATAAATTCAAAAAAGTTTCTTTAAAAATGTTATGTTAAATTCACATCAGAACTGAAACACCTTGCAAGTATTCCAGAAGAAAAGTAACAGGGACATATACACAGTGCTGTCAGGCCTTTTGCCCCAAGTCCCAGTAAAAAAAAATTCCTCTGAAGGTAAAATATTTGTGAGATCTCACCACCAGTCTTGTAAAACCTGCATATACAACAAGATGCAGCGAAAGAAGAAACATCTAATTAACTGTCCTTTTAGATGAATTAACTTTAGAAAAAAATCTACAGAATTGTATCTCTTGTTTTATATAAGAAAAGGTAAATAAATCAACTAAGCTGATCAGGCAAAGGTACCACAGAGTACTGAAGTGATAGAAATCCTCCTGCTGGATTGAGCGACTCTGTAAGCAAGTCTGACAGTTAGAAAAGGAAACAGCAGAAACTCAAGACTTCCACAAAACCAACAGTGAAAATGTGATGCATTGTAGAATGCTTCAATAAGTTTCTATTTTCTGTGTGCAATTACAGGAAATACACAAAACAGGCTGAGGGGTACCTTTACTTTCTGTAATATATAATAATAGGAGAAAGTCCCATGGACTTCTGACAGCAAACACAGAACCACTGTATTAAAACATGTGTTACCTCATATTTATCAGCGTTCAGTCTTATTTTTCATATTCCTTTATCCCTGGGTAAAATAATTCTTATGCAGTGTCCCTAAAATTTTCACCTTTCACACTACAGCTGAGCTTTCTGAAGAACTCAGAAAATTTAACCGCCAACCAAACACAGGATCAAAAGCACCCAATAAATAGTACTATGTACTATTTTTAATAATTAAAACAAAAAATCTCGTTTCGTGTATGACAAGAGTTAAACCATTCTATCTCCAAACCCCCTGAACTGTAACGTATGTGCCCTGCTACAAATCAACTTTTCTTCCTTTAAGAAAAAAACCCAAAACCCCAAACATTTTTACCTTCATGGTTTCAGAGTTTAGGAAATATCGTACTGAACTGAAGAAAGCTTTGAAGTGGCCCCCTCCGCCCCAAAGGAAAAAAAGAGAAGAAAAGCTAGTGATGTCATGGTCACTGTGTGACTGCCTGACTGCAGATGTAACACAGCTCTACACGCGCACACGCTTCTCCCTCGCTGGTAACCATTGTTCAGCAGCCAGGAATCAGCCCCCGAAACCTGCTGCACACCGGGCTCTGAAACACCGCCCCGCCAACACACCCCAATCCCACCCTGGATGCACGAGGGAAAAATCCCTTTCCCCCTCCCGCCCCTCCCCAAGCAAACCCCAAACCCGGAGGAGGGAAGGGCACAGAGGAGGAGTGCAACAACTGTCCCGCTGCACCATCGTGGCGCGACAGCGGCTCTGCCGCTCGCTCCTCGCCGCTGCTGGCAAATTAGGCGGCATCGAAAAGTCGCGCTTCCCCCTACTAAAAAAGATTATTACCACAAAATAAATAAATAAAAACAATGTCGCTAACAAAGGTCACAGCTGGAGATCCTTGCTTGGTTTCTCACGCTCCCCCCCCTCCCCATTTTTTTTTTTTTTTGATTCCGCACAGGAAGAAAGGGAAGGAGAGGGAGAGAGGAGAGGGAGAGAGGAGAGGGAGAGAAGTCACATCAGAAGTTCAATGGTCAAGACGGAAAGCGCGCACGCAGAAAGTGCTACTCACCCAGCAATTCAAATTGAGATGCCAGCAGCCGAACTGCTGGAAGAGAGAGAACCCAGAGGCAAGCGCTCCTCCTTTACCACTCAAATCTTCCATTCCCACTAAAATTGCATCCCTCGGGTACATAACAGCTTTGTCTTTCCTTCTGTTAACCTCAAAAACTTTTTTTCTTTACTGTCTAGATGCCAATTGTGCTGGCTTTGTATTATTTTCCTTGCAGCTTTTCTCTCTCTTTTTCTTTCCCCGCTCCCCCCCTTCACTTAAAGTACTGGAAAAGCTGTCTTAAAAGATCAAGATGTCTCCAGTTTTTTGGCCTGGTGTTTTCTGAATGCTCAAAATCCACTGTCATGTTGGCTGTGAGAAGTGTCTTATTTCTAAATTGTCGGCTGCAGTTATCAAAATTTAGAGAAGCCTCCTGTCTTTTCCAATATAGCACTTTACCATCATCCTTCCAGGGAGTGGGGAAAAGACTTTCTCTCCCCCCCCGCCCCCCCCATGCAGGTATGTCTGTTCACAAGAGCTAAAAAAGCAGTTACTTTGGAAATCAATGACAATGCTACTCCAAGCCAGGTTGCGCAGGTGTTACTAAGTGCGGCGAGGAAACGCCGGCCGGCCGTGAGGGAGCATGATCAGTTAAGTGTAGCAAGCATTCACTTTATCTGCAAGA